CGTCATTCTTTCTGGGGCTTCCTGCTTTGAATGGCGTCAGTCACTTGATGTGTACGAGATGTTTCGATCGCAGGTCTCTTCTGCCACCCGAGTTTCAAAGGGCATTGCGGCATTGCCATCTGTTTCTCGGTTTCCTTTCATTTTAGGCTTGGGAGGCTTACATGCATTCCGTCTCCTCTTATTCTTGTCCCATAGATGTTTTGCGATGTTTTCACCCAAGTGGTACATTAAAGCTCACTATGTCCAAAAGTCAGGATTGCCCAAGCCGACTCAAACCCTAACTGAATAGTAATTTCCAGGTTTCAACCGACATCAAGTAAAGCAGGCAAACACACACACACAGAGAAACAAAATCTCGATGCAAGTCTAAATCAAATGCGGATCTAACACGCTTTGCTTCTCCTCCAGCCCAGTCACCAATGTTGGCCCAGCGGTCGCCACAGTACTGCTCAAAATCCCAAGACGTGTGCCTCCATGTGCAGAAGTGAGACTCCCACAGCTTTGTTAAACCAAAGACCTACACGGGGACTTATGTCACATGATGTCACATGATTTAATCGCGCGAGCTCTTGAATCAAAGCCTACCATAATCCTGCACAGCTACAATCAGCTACACTTCCAATGCATTCATTGCTGCCAAGGTATCAAAGAATCGCCCACCCGCCCCAAACTGCCGACCCAGTGCCATGCCACCAGTTCAGTTTGCACCTGAAGTCGCAGGGTATACTTCCAGCAATGGGCATTGACAACTCCTTGGAGGCAGGGAGGCGCATGCCATGATGCTTCAGCAATCCTGCACTCGGACACAAAATCCGCAAAACCTATGCTTCAAATGGAATTCAAATGGTTTCTTAGAGGCATCGTGTCTCCAACACATCAAAAATTACCAATTAATTAACCTGCAACAATTACAGAGATGCTTCAGGCCCCAAATGAGACCCCACGGAGGAGAAAAAAAAGTGACTACTTCATCAGTTTATGTAGTGTTGTTGCCCGTTTGTTGGGCGATTCGGGGGCACACCGAGATAGCCGTGGCACGATACGGGGATCCACCGCTGCCGCTACTGTTGTGGTCCATCCGCCTCCACTCAAACCGGCCATGATGATGTGCTCCTTGGCAGAAGTTGCCCGAAACTGATAAACTGACTGCAGCATCCTGCAGAGGTTCTCGAAATGCTCTCCGAGATCCTTTGCATGTTCACTAAGAGCTAGTGCATGGGTCTCATTCAAAATGGGTGCAGAAACTGAGGATACACGGTCACGCGCAAAGGAATTTGGTCACTGGGCCCAAGAAGCGTAGAAACAAACACTGAGCTCAGCAAAGAAGAGCAATCTCCTCCTCCTCCTCCTCCTCCTCCTTTGGCCAAGCATCATAGCCCAGTTGGTTCTTGGCGAAGTTGATGGTTTTGATCACCTCAGCTGTCCGCACATGTCTGCACACATTGCTGTTCAACTCCACGATGATTTCCAGCAACACTTCACTCCACAGACCCTGGAAAAAGCTACCAACGGCTGCAGAATCTTGTTTTGATTTGCTGACTCAAAATACTCAAATTTGCACAAGCTGCTGGCCGTTGTTTTTACTTGTTCCAAGAGACTATGCGGGCAGCCACTCTCAACTTCATTGGCTGGGAACAGGAGACCACCATCGAAACATGATCGCTAAGTATTCGTCCCTACTAATCAGCAAGAGGTTCATCAAAACATGTCTGGGAAGACGGAAGGTGATGCGACCTACAGAGCCCATTCCTCAACGGCATGATTACCAGCCATGTAGCTGGTTCGACAAAGAAGCGCACCCATGGCAAACCCTCATCCTCAAAGTTCTGGAACCAACCCTTGGACCCAGGCAGGGCTGGCAGATGGTGGTAGTGGGTGATGAGACGCAGCATGACGTATCATGACATGACATTGCCAGTTCAGGTTTGCCCGTGCAACCTACCTGACCGCGTTTGAGAAGCCAGCCCCGGGCAAGCCGAATGCACAACCCCCCGCCCCCCGGGCGTCTGGGGCACGTGGCGGCTTGGTGGCTGGTCCTTGATGATGTTGCAATCCACAAAGGGCATCCTTGGGCCAAAATTCTACGTCTACTCTGCACGAGCAGAAACCTCTCATTTGCACGGGAATATCCTTCGATGTCACAAGTGGGATTTTGCAACCAACCCCTGGTGATTCCCCCTGCTGAATTCTAAGTCTCATCATTGTCGCCACGTCCAAACCCATCTCGTTCAACCAATCGGTGGTTCCTTCAGTGTCTCCTCCCGTCGCCGTGACCGCGTCGGACATCGAGGGGCGCTCAAAACTCAAGACATCTCAAAACCTTGCTCCTCAAAAAAGTGATCAAGGGGCCGCCTGCGCCACCTGCTTACTTTAAGGCAGTGCCTGCTGGCGACCATGCCTTCATGTTACTACGACGCTTGGTGGCTAAGTTTGGACGACGGGTTGCAACCTGTTCCCACGACGGAAGAAGGGTTGTCACGACGGAGTAGCACCTTTGAAGGACATTCCTCTAGTCTATTCCACTGTATTATACAGTGTCAGTTGGCACTGTATAATCCAGTGGAACGGAGCTCCCGGCTAGAGAGATGTCCTTTAAAGATACTAGTCCGTTATGATAACATCCCCCTCCCGTTGTGGCAACATCCTTCTTCCGTCGTGGTAACGACTCTAAGCATCGTGGTAACAAACCTCTCGTCGTAGTAACAGCTGGGCCTACCTTTCACACTCAAGGCAATCTTCAAATCATAGCACCACTAGGGCTCAAACGTCCAAAAAAAGACCGAACAAATCCAAACGATGAAAAACTTTCCGCAACCTGATTCTGCAAATGTTCAGGTTATGATGCTTCCTGAGCACCCTGATGCACCCATCGCCACCCGGTCCGTACGTAGGGCAGCCTTTGGACTCCCCGTGGCCATGATGGAAAATCACCAGCGTCTTCCCTCGATGCGGCGGCCTTGTCACACATCTTTGCGTAGAGTTGGGTGCACGTGTTGGGAGGGAGGTTGTGAAGTTTCATGGTCAATGCAAAACATGTGCAGGGATTATATTTTAATAAATGTGATGCGCGTGTGTGTGTGTGTGCAAAATTATAATTTCACACTGAGTGTAGCCCTGCTCATCCATGTCGTGGCAATCCAAACAGGATGCGCAACAAAGCACTATGCATTGATAACCATTCCTCAATATGGCTATGGCATAAATGGGGATATTGCACAATTATATATATATATATAGATGGATGGGAATTCATCATCAAGTCTATGGTGATTTAAGCCTTTGGCTGTAAATAATTGGGGTCGGCAGCAGTTAACTTTAAATATCAAAATTTAAAATATACACAGCATATATGTATCACATTATGGGCGGGGTAGTTGTTGTTGACCCAAATGGCCAAGATTCAGCTGTACGCCAGTTGCATTTGAGAACCATTGAGAACCTGACCCTCGAATACGTTCTGGATCTTTATTGATATGATAATGATAACCTGATTCTGGTTTTGGGTGAAGAATGACAGCACTGGTCATCACATTAATTTCCATGCTGTCGTGCTGAATCCTGCAAGTTCCAAATTGTATCTCTATGTGGCCGACATTTATGCGGCCGTTTTACTAAAACGACTTGATGAATGGTACAAACAACTTGAGGACGCAAAACCTTACAAAAACATCTGCAAAACATATTCCATCATATTATTATATTATGTATATATATATATATATCTATCTCTCTCTCTCTCTTCTGTTTCTCTTATTATTGCTAATTATTCATAATATATATATATATATATTATTATTATATATTGATTATTATTGATTGATATATAATACCGAGGAAGTCCTTGAATATCGGAAAAAGTCCGAAAGTGCCAGGCATCCAGCTGCAGCCAGGAGGCACAGGGGCTTGGGGTTGGTCAGCTCCTCAAGCACATCGATTGTGTACGAAAGTCACGAAAGTACACTTAAAAATACTATACTTGAGGCCGGGGGTGGATGACGAAAGCTAGCGGGGTAGGAGAAAGAAGGAAGGGAAGAGGTGAGTTGCGGAGGGACTGTCATCATCGTGTCGCGGCATTGTTCGTCCCAACGAGGATGCAACAATGATATATGATATATGATATATGATATATGATATATAACAATGATATATATGGGGAAGGGGGCAGGGGGGGGGCCTTACGCGTGAAAAATCACGTGATGTCCTTGGGGAGCCCCGGAATACTTGCTAAAGCAAGAAGACTCTAGCGAGCTGACGCTAGCTTTCGTGATAATGCCAATAATTGCCAATAATGAGAAATTGCAATTGAATAACGATGATGATGATGATGATGACGATGACGATGGCGAGGACGATGACGATGGCGAGGACGATGACGATGATGATGACGATGATGATGACGATGATGATGATGATGATGATGATGGTGGTGGTGGCGATGATGATGATGATGATGATGATGATGATGATGACGAGGACGATGGCGAGGACGATGACGATGATGACGACGACGATGACGATGACGATGACGATGATGATGATGGTGGTGGTGGTGGTGGTGGTGGTGGTGGGGGGTCCCCCCCTTTCACGTGAAAAATCACGTGATGTCCTTGAGCAGCCCCCGGAATACTTGCTAAAGCAAGAAGACTCCAGCTAGCTGACGCTAGCTTTCGTGATAAGATACTTAAAGTATCTTAAAGTATGCAAAAGCACGCAAACGCGACAAACCAAAGACATGAGATCAGCAGAAAGGTGGAGACAAGCTTGCCCAGGAACACAATAACCGCGGATGCTGCTCCATCTCCAATGGGTTAAATTCTTCATAATTCCGGCGAAGTCACGGATTTGGGATGACAGTATGGCCCCACTTGCACCCGGACTGGAGCGGACCCAACGCATAAGTGGTAAGTAAATACATGTAAATACATCAAGGGAATACACCACCTTGACCACATGCAAGAACTCCTTGACAGCATAAGGGTCACTTAAATTCCATCATGTTGAGTCCTTTTGGTCGAGCTGGCTCGTTTGCAAATCCGTTTTGTTTTAAACATAGGTTGAGAGCAATTGTGCTGATCATTCTCTTTTAAACAAGTGCAAAGCATTGCAAAGCCATCCAACTCATTCAAAATTCCAAGTCTCCCCAAATTGCGTTTCCAGGCGCCCATCCAGAAGTGTTCAATGTAAGAAACACCTTTGAGGTGATCGTCTTGGAGAAAGTGGCCTCAACGATGGCAAATTACATTGGCACCAGCTGGAAATTGATGAAAGCTACAGGCCTCATCATCATCATCATCATCATCATCATCATCAGCAGCAGCAGCAGCAGCAGCGATTCGGCTCTGCTAAATCTTGGTCGACTCTGCCCACTTCTGCAATTGGTTTCCTATTCTGTCTGATCGCCTTTACTGCCTTTACTAGCTTTCCTTTGCCCGTTTGGGTCATCAATCTTTATCTTAGCTGCGCTTGGCATGGCTTGGCTCCTCGCCATTCCTGGCGCACCGCCCGTGGGTGACCATCAGCACGAGGCACATTCAAAGCTGCTGGCATCTCCCACAAAAGCTCCATGATCGGCACCGGCTTCTCGCAAGCACTTGACTGAGCAGCTCCCCAAATGGAAGATAGACAATCCTCAGGTTGCAACAGCGCACGAGCTTCTCTGTCAGATTGCTACAGCGCACCGGCATCTCTGTGAGAGGCAATCAAATTATCCAGTAAGTAATGCTGCCCTGACGTCTGGGAAGCGATGCTTCGCCGTGAATGTAGTTAAACGCTGCGGCCTCCCAAACTTCAGCTGATGGGAAAGTTTGAACACTAAGGTTCGCTGCCTCAACCTGTTCAAATAGCTTAGAACATCTCCAATCGGTAGTCCATTGACACCTCTATGCTGCCTCACACCCAGACATAGATATCGACTGTGTGGCTGGCACCAGTCATGAATTCTATGAAGTCTTGTCATTCTTGTGAGGCATGAACCGCCAATTCCAGTCTACGCCTTTCGTCACTCGGAAGCTGATCTTGGCCAAACATCCTCGTGGCAACGCTGCTTCTTTGGGGCACGTTGGAACATGATCGATTATCCCGCTACCTCATGTCATTTGACAAAAAACGAGGCACACAATTCACCTAGGCAGTTGTATGAACATATCCTCAAGACAGTGCCGGGACTGCCAGTGAACCAAGATAGCAAACACGACAATCAGCGCGATAATCTCCAGCTTTTGTGCATTGTCTATTATGTGCGCTGTTGTGCTCAAGATGCTATGTATGGAGCGGAACCTGGCCATCAAATGATGGGGTCCTTGCAATACCCGTTCTCTGAACCCCCCACCCAGCAGGGACCCCAGCCGAATGCAACTAACATTTTAAGCTTTCGGACCTGAAAGTCTGAAAGTGTTAGCATTTTGCACGCCTGTGCCCAAAAAGATGCATGATGATTCTCATTGCGTTTCAAGGTATCTCAAAAAAGTCTCGCTGACACGCGTAGGCTCCAATATGTAAGATGAAGTTGAAAACCACTGCCGTTTGCACATGTTCCAAGGAAGACTTCAAATTCACACAACATTTGCGTCTATGCGTGTTGGCAACCTGCAGGCCTTGAAAGCTTATAGACCCTGTTGCACAAGTTTGGCGGTGCATGCTGGCCCAATCAGACCTGCAGGGCCTGTAACACCTGTAGGTTGCCGACATACAGCCCCAAGCAAGTCCCAAAAGACTTGTAGTTTGCCGACAGACAGCTTCAAGCTCAGCCATGCTCAGCCCAACACGCCCTATAAGACCTGTAGGTTGCCTACTACATGCAGCCAGCTTGGTCCAAAAGGCTCCATCAGACCTGTAGGTTGCCGACATACGCTCACACACGGCCCCAAACTCAGTTTAGGAGGCCCCCTAGACCTGTAGGTAGGTTGCCAATGTACAGCCCCAAGCAACTCCAACTGGCCCCCTAGGGCCCTGGGGTGCCAACAAACAGCTGCCAGGGGTCCAACAGGCCTGATAAGACCTCTAGGTGCACGAGTGCAGGTTGCCTACAAACAGCCCGAAGCTTGATCCAACACGGGCTAACACCTGTAGGTTGCCCACATACAGCGCCAAGCAATTCCCCACAAGACCTGTAGTTTGCCGACAAACGGCTCCGAGCTCAGTCCAACAGGCCCCATAAGACCTGTAGGTTGCCTAGAAACAACGCCTTGTTCAGTCCCGGAGTGGTTCAACTTAGATACACACGTCTAGAGTTTGGCGTATCATTTAAATCCGGGTGATGGTTGATGGTGTGGCATCGATGAAAAAACTAAAAGTCAAGGCTCTCTTGCACAAGCCTCTTTCGAATGTCGATCCAGTCTGGATTCTTGGGAAGGAGCTTGTATCCTGGGAATGCTCCCATCACATTCAGCTGGGTTGCTCGGGAAGCAAATCGTACAACCACACGTCGGCCCATTGAACTGCAACCTGCCAAACTAGTGGGCAAGGTGTTCGTACTTGATTATTATCATATCCATTTGTATATGATTCTGTATGCCCTGCCCTTGTGTATCTTCAATAAATCGCTTTCAACTCTTACCTCTCCCGATCAAACATGCCCAACCCCGTTGCAGTCCCAGCACCCAGCACCCTCACTGATCTCCTTGGGGACTGCAGCCATCCCGGGAGGAACCGTTCGGGGAACAGTAGTCATCTGGCCAATCCGGGCTACACACGAAGGCCACTGCAGAGCCTCAGGTCTGGGCTAAGCATGCTGAGAAATGAGTAGAAGCTCCGACCTGCAGGCCCGCAGTCTGGCCTCCAAAGCAAAGAGTTGCCAGCCACGTCAAGGACCTAGCACTCACCGAAACTACGGCACAAGGACAAACATGGTTCATCCACAAGACTTGAGAAGGGGTGGACGAAAGGTAGAGTGGGTGTCACCAGTAGTACAAGAACCTGTTGCAGGAAATTCATTGAGATGCGGTATATTGAAAAAGGATGAAAAAGGATCATTGAAAAGGGATCGATGAAAAATGGATGAACAATGGGACCTTGAGGCCTTCTATGTGGACAAACCAATCTAAAATGAGCAAAAAACAAAACGGTGTCAATTGAGCCGTTGTCGCTGCCATGAAACAAACCCGTCTCAGGCACTCTCGACTCTCTACATTGGCCCCCCTACCCCCGTGGTGAAACTGTCCTTCTTTCTCCAAAGATGACTACGAGTGGAAATGGACCACCCCAGTGTTAACTCACATTCTCTCAGGTAGCTGATGCTACCTTTCGTGACTGGTGAACGCTAAAGGAACCATTCTACGCAGAAAAGGAACAGTAGCATCTTGACAGCATGCACTGGCTGCAGGCTGAAATTCCTCAAACAACTGGCATACAACAAGCATCTACATAAACACACACACACACAAACCACTTCGACAGTGCCATCTGCAGCTGTCTGCAGCCCCCGCGCCTCTCCAACATCAACAGGCTAGTCATGCAGCTCATGCGAACAATGAGCCCAAACACTTCCAAGAATTCGGGCGGTGTAAAATGTGCAAGGAACTGTCCCCAGGCATATGTCAAAAGAGTGGGGCAAAAACTGCCTTGAGTTCAATAAACCACACAAATCCAGAAGGAGAAAAGACTGCATGATCCAAGAATATTCCACGAGTCTTCCCCACATGCTTCACACCGCTGCTTATTTGGTGATAAAATTGGCGATTCAAGTGTGAAGCTTCTCAAGCAAAGCCGCTGTTTTGAGCTCCTTGATGTCCAGCATTTTTGATCTGTCCTTCCAGAACCACAGGATCCAAAAGCACAACCATGCACAACCCCTAGACCCCTGCAGGTTTGGCATACAGCGGCATACGCTATTCAATTGCCTTGCACCGCTTCTCGTGAGAAAGTGAGAAGCTGTGATAAGAGGCCGCGTCCTTGTCAGCTGACTGAAAGAGTTCGTCCCAAGTCTCCTGCAGCAGGGGTGGCTTGGCCAATGCCAAGCTAAGCTCAGGTGGCACGACAAAACAGCCTTGGACACATTGGTTCGTCATCGTTTGTCAAGGCAAACATTTCAGCCTGAAACACAGCCCTGTCACTCTTGTGGCTCCTTCTGCTTCGCCTTCGCCTCGGCCACACTTTCACGGTTGGTGTATCAGGTAAAAACATATTGCGTAAGAGTAAGTCAAATATGTCAAATGACCAAGCAGGGCCAGCTCCCTTAATCTGAAACATCAAGAATTGGTGGACCCTGCTTCACTCATGGTCCGTGATTAACAACGTCATCAGAATCCAAGGTGCTCCATTCAGGATCCGTCTCGCCCTGGCAGTAGTCGATGCAGCAGACTCCATCGCCATGGTGATGATGGCGAGTCAGGTTGAGGCGATGGCTGATCGAACCTCAATCGAATTGCGTCTTTGCTGGTCAAGCTTTCTTTCGTGGGAACGCAATTGTGGTAGTTATACGATGCTATGTTATACTTATACGTCATGTCCATGGAGTGAGTAATGGCGAAATATGCCCTGTGTTGATAGCTGCTGATAGCTGGTGCACTCTAACTTTGTTCATTCCCGAGCCGAAGAATCCTCAGGTTCAAGGCACCACGAACAGCTTTTCAAACTGTTGAGGGTTCGTTCCTCATTCGACCATTCATTACAATGACAAGGGCAAACTGACCTGTTTGGACCTGCAAAGTTTGTCGTTTGTTCGTTGCAGTCAGCTCCTTCCTAACCCATAGGACCGTTAGTAAGTCTAAGTAGTCATCATATCGGAATCTTGATCTAAAATGGTGAGGGTATGTGAAGGTTAAATCTTATAAAGTTCAAATGGCTACTACAGTAAACGTTTCATCGCCGCTCACAAGGAAGAGAGGTGAAGAACAACTTGCACACAGCAAACGGCAACTTTTTGGCACTTTGTTCGGATGAGGACCTCGGTGACTCGGTGGCAGGTGGAATGTGTTGAGATGTGTCGAGAACTTGTCTGAATCAGCACACCTGCCGTTTCCTTGAGAGCTTGCGATGAACAGAATTGTTTTCACGCAGCACATCACAGCACCCTGATCCAAGACTGGAAGGACTGCTTACCCAACCTCCAGCGTTAGACCAGCAACCCTTCACCCAGAATGACCTTCTGATTCAAGAATTTCAAGTTCTGTGGCCCCTGCGAATCTGAATCCGAGGCCTCAGCTAAGACACTGTTGACCCCATGCAGACTTCTTTTCTATTCAGATCTGGGAATATCAGCGTTAACATCTGAGGGTGAGGGAAGGTTCAGCACTCAACCAATTCCCTTGGCATCCCTGTGCTGAACTAATACCAACCCCCAAAAAAGAGCACACACACACAAAATATACTAAAAACGAAAAAAAATTTGAAAATTCACTAGCGGCCGAAGGCGAGTGTCACCCTCAAATCTCCCAACCAATCCCTTCAAGGTCATGGCCACATCTTTGCTCCTGAAAACCATTGCTACGGCCACACTTATCTAGAAAGCAGCCCACCATGATCACGACAAGTGTGTTTTGTGCAGACGTTCTATGATGTCCTCTATGTGATTTTCTCATGAATTAGCCTGCTTTTGGTGAGACATCTGTACACTGGAAAGGTAGCAAACGGGCCCAAGCCGCTAAAAAGCATCCAAAAAGCGGGGATGTCCTGCTAAGACCGCTAGAGTAAGAGATAAGAAAAGGGTCATGAGGCTCATGAGGTAAAGTATGGTCGGACATGAAACCCCCACGGCTCCGGCCTAGTAGAGGTCTTGGCTTTGACCGTGGCCTTCGCTTGCGCGACCCTTTTTAATTGCAAAGCCTTATGCGGTGTGACGTTGGTCACCCCAAAGGCGTTGGTGCACAACTCAGGTCCAGAACAACAAACTTAGTTTCAGGCAAGTTTTGATGGAAGATTTCACTTGTGGTGTCTCTTACGGCAAGTTATGGCAAACGAACAAGCACACTCATGTTTGGCAAACGTCATTTCGCTCAAGCTTCCTACCACTTCTTCCTTCTCCTGCTTGGCCTTGATCATGCTCTGAGCCGCCTGTCAACATAAACGGCCCAAGAACACCAAGAATTTCACCTGGTGCAACCGAATGAGAAAGCAAGAGTTGCTGGATGACATTGGATCATTTATACACCCGCACTAGTTGAGCCCCCGTGACATCCATGCGCCCGGCGCCTGCATTGGATCATCACTGGGTGGCTCCAAGTCTGCCAAGCCCAAAGTATCCAGGAAGTCTGCCTGGAAGCGCAGCTAGGGATGCCTTGAATCAGTATGTGCACCGAAGGTTTTGAGCCGGTGCGTGAATCCGGCATTCTCCTGGCTACAGTTGATCAATCAATCAATCAATGTTTCAATGGATTGGTTTAGTTTAAGGGAAAATTACAGGAAAACCCAATATTTAATAGGAAAATAATGGAAGATCTATGGTTTCCTGATGTAGATTTTCCCTTCAATCAATGGATTGGATGTTGCTTTCAGATTCTGTGTCTCTCCTTCTCCTTCTCTCCCTCTCTCGCTTTCTTGTGCTTTCTTTCCATCCCAATCGCAATGATTATATATCTGGTTGGCTATCACCTACTCCTACTCCTACTACTACTACTACAACTACTACTACTACTACTACAACTACTACTACTACTACTGCTACAACTACTACTACAACTACAACTACAACTACAACTACAACAACAACTACTACTACTACTACTACTGGCTATTGGCAAAATATGTTCTATATATATATATGCCAATGCTTGGAGCTATTTTTTTATCCCTTCCAAGTCCGCTCCGAAAAAAAAGGTGACCAAGAAATGCTCTCACTTGGAAGTTCCACCCCTTTCAACAAGACAGGGGAGATCTGAAACCCTACTCCTGTTGATACTCACAAATCGTGCATGACACACCGTGTATGCACAGTTAGATGAAGGAGGAACTGCGATTTGCTTCCACCGAGCAGCAACAGCAAAAGCCACTTCGGACAGTAGGCCGTCTCGGGCTTTCAACTGCTTTTGGAGAGTTTGCACCTGCAATAGGCAACAAGAATCAGAGATGAATCCCAGCAACTGGAAGACGGGAAAATAAATGCGGGGAAAATACATGCCAAGACATGCCAAGCGCATTCTTTTGAAATATATAGCTTGAGTCACCTAGGCATGCCAAGCCAAGTAACTTTCCACTTGGTGATCGCAAACGCACCAAACATAATCAACATATCCACCATGCACGTTTGAAGGCTGGCGCCTTCGTCTGTATAAAGTCCACCACTTCAGACTCGTGCAAATCTGCAGATCCAAGGGCACTTGCCTTGCCACATCTTGCCACAAGACTTGACAATGAAGACCAATGGGAAGCATAGCCTACATGTTTGTTTTGTGCCCAAGGAGGTTTGAAACAGCCGAATTGCCGCCAAGCTGCTAAGTTGAATAGTTGCTCCGCACGAGCCTTCATCTGACGCACCTGGCCGGTGTTTCCACAATGGAGGTTTGATGTAAAGTTGGGAAAGGTAGGGCCACGGAGGCGCACTGAATCATGACAAAACGGAGCATGACGAGGGCCCTGCTAGCTGACCTGGGAAGAATCTGGGAACGCTTGGATCACCCAGGCCTTCGCCATTAAAAAATTGCGGGCATCAGAGTCTTGCAAGTTTTCTGTGGATCCCATTGCAGAAGCCTTGGTGCGATCGGGACAGGTCATCATGATTGGAGGTCGTGGCCTGACTCCCAGCCGCCCAGTGGAAATCAATGTTTTATCGAAATCATGTTTGATCGTTTTTATATCTATTTATCTAAAAATTAATAAATATACGTATACACACATATATATATATGTATACACATAAGAGAGGAGCTGTTGAAGACAAGAGACCAAGGAAGACAAGAGCTCCCCTCGATCTTTAAGGTGCTGTTGAAGACTTCCCACCTGCAAGGCCCCGACTTTTGTTTTTTCCATGTTCACCTCGCTATCAAAAGCATCTACACCCCAAATGGAAGCCGGAACCACGGCTGTGCCCAACCCAAACAAGTGGAATCAAATTGCACTGAACTGGCACGCCTGCTCAAGCAAAGCCGGTACCTGCCAAATTGCCAGGACTTCTACTCAAGTCAAGCATCACAAAATGAAGTTTTGTGTTGGTCGCGAGGGCCCTTTGTCTTCGGGAGACCAGGTGGGATGCTACGGAGCGCCAGCGGGCAAGTGATTCAGGAAATCATATTGCGCCTCCGACTGCACTACATCTAGTGCTTCTGCACCGTGCAATTCCATGCCCATCTTTATTTCAACCTCAAGGCATGGGAGGATTTCAACCGTAATCACACGTCAGCTTCTGCGAGTTGAAGATGCAAAATATCAAAGATCAAAGTCAAAACATTTGGCCCATTGGACGACTGGAATCAAACAAAGCCAGAAACATGGCTCCAATCATGGCGCCCGAAGCCAATGACGCCCAGACACCAGCTGCTTGAGACTTTGGTCCTTTTTCCGCAATTCTTGTTCCAAACGCTCAGCCTGGGATGCTGTGAATATCTGTGGATTATACCGTGCCCTACATATAGCTATACAGATGCTCTTGGGAACTTCCGAGCACACAAGCTCGAAACACTTCACCCCTATCCGCTGTCTCCGCCTCCTGTGTCGCCTCCTCTGCAGCACGCTCCAATTCCGACCCGACAAAGTTCCGGCGCTCAATGCTTACGAGCTGCACAGGGGTGTTGGATCAAAATGAATGGAACTTCTTGGGGGTTCGTTTGCGGTGATTCATCATTAAATACTTCCTTTTCCGAGCATATTCTTTGCCCAAGGCAAGATCTCAAAGGCATATGGCCCGCATGGTTTGCGTGACTTCATGCCGACTTGAATGACCCTTGGACTTGGGACTCTGTGAGTTTGGGAAGCCGTTTCACCAAGGTTGGTTGCAGTTGCACACTTTCACCCAGCCGCTGCGCCTCCCCCTTTAAGCGTAACACTTCATCCTGCGAGTTGTGCAGCAAATTCGCAAACAAAAAAGGAATTCGGGCCAGAGCAACACAATTGAGCATCTGAAGGATCAACCCGGAAGTGCTCTATTTACATTATCTGGACGGGATAGCATGTTTACTGTCATGACGATGATGATGATGATCATGTATTTTGCCAACCTGGAGCCTGGGAAGCTCCAAAATGCCCATCAGGGCGCATCATATGCACCATATCACCATATGGCGTCCATAGCCTTGTAACATGGCAACCTACAGCCTGGGAAGAATATGCCCAGCAATGCCCAGCATATGGGGTGCATAGCCCTGTATGTTGGCAACCAGGCCAGTCTTTGTTCCTGAGTCTCAAGGCGACGTTGTTCTCGTAGCTCCGACAGCTGGTTCAGGTAGCTGGCCAGTGCATTTGCTGGGGAGATCGAAGAAGATCGGAGCCCCGTCATGCTCAGCAACTCTTTGGGGGAACATCACAAAGATACAAAAAACTGAGCTGTTGGCAGCCTATTTCTGACATGAAACCCTTCAAAAAATAGTCCATGGAACTCTCAGTCGTCAAAAGCAACATGCGTCAAGCCTATGCTGTTCGCGACACTACCACAGATTGAACCCTTCGGCTGGTTAGCCCCACACAAAATACCTGAGGAACCTCACAACCTCAACAGGACGCTCAACCAAAACGCTTGCGGCTGGCAGCGCAGCGAGCATCTTGACAGGGTGAAAGAACCCAAACGTCCCTCTTCCTGCAAAGCTGTAGCATCCTTCCACGCCATTGCGCATGGAACATGAAATCCGCGCCTGCTCTGAGCTCGCAAAGCCGTGATTTGAGTTTGCAAGTCAGCTATGACAGCGTCCTGCTTGGACAAAGATTGCCTTGACATCGAGCACAACGAGGTTCTTGGGAGAAACTGGACCAACATTCTTGCTTTTGCTGCCCCATCAACATCTACCAAACTAAGTCCTTGAACACAAGCACGCACTTTCTGTAAATGCTGCACGTACCATGCAACCTTTCAGGGAGCGCACCCCGGCCTGGATGCATAGCTTAGTAATCTCAAAACAAACTGCACCCGTGTTATCTACACAGGCTCCGAAACACAAAATGACCACCTGGCATCTTGCAAATTGCAACCGTTTCCACTCTGACCTGACATCCTGCCATGAATTACATCTCTTGTTGTGCCCACATGCAAAACCAGAGTTTCCAACTCCCTGCACAAGCTGAGGCACTTCATGCCAAAAAGTTCTGAGTGAAGCTGGTTCTCCGGCAACTCCACTGACTTGGGGCTGGCAGAAGGTGAGCCTCCTGGACCTCCATTTGCAATCAGGGATGATCAAGGATCATCAAGGATCATCAAGGATCATCAAGGATCATCAAGGATCATCAAGGATCATTCCAGGATTCCAATGTGTGTGTGTGCGCGCGCGCGCCGAAAGTGCCTTTTTTGGCTTGGATCCTTTAGATTCCAACACCTTGTGGATCGAAGCCTTTGATAAGCTAAATCCTGGACATACTTCATGATCTTAGCCGGCACACTTGGTTCATATAATATCATATTATAATTATATAATCATGTTCAAGCAGCCAAGGACTTGACACCCTGCCCCAACACCAAGAGCCGCCCTGCACCAAGAGCTGCCCCAAGTGTGGAGTAACAACCACCCTCTTGGTCTCCCGGCAAGCTGCTAGAAGAGCCTCCTATCGACAAAATTTTCCGAGATTCCCAAAGGAAATCTCCCAAACAGCACATCCCATTCACCTTAACTTACATCCCTCCTTTATGCATCCCTACATGAAACGTATCGGCTCAGTGCAGGTCCCTTATCATTCCAAGTGTGGCCCGGGTGCACCTGTTACTCTGCCAGGCGACGAAATCAGAATTGTTACAGCTGTCGCACACAGAGAGTAGCTGTCTCGTCTGTCAGGGTCCTCCATTTTTCAATTCTTTCTTTCCCAGTGCCAATTTCCTTGCCTTCATTCAATAGAATTGCTTTCCTACCTCTCTACAGATTGGGTTAACATCATCCAGAGCCCGGGACCTGCAAATCCATGAGTTGACCTTGACTCTGTGCCAATGCCTCCCGCAATTCGCAGGAGTCATCACCACGGCAATCAGCGCGCCGAGGGGACTCCACAGTGAGCTTCCTTGGAGCTGGCTGAACTACATGGCTGACTGCATGCAACAACTGGGAAGAGATTACATATTAGTTAAAAATTCATGAAGGTTGGGAAGCACTTCTCCGCGAAAGAAAAAATAACATTGTCAAGCCACAACAGCCCCTCGCACGGAATAATCTGCATCTTTCGTTACTAATTTTTCTGCGTATTCAGCTGGCTTCTCAAGCTGCTGCGGAAGCAACCCTATCGTCTCATCCTTCAACCTTGCCAGCTCCTGCCACATGCACCCGTTCAGGCATGCAATCCATTGAAGCGAGTTCCGAACCAAAGACCAACGATGCGTGAAATCGGAACCACAACAACTCAAGTTCCCAAGCTTCCATGCCAACACACATGCGAGCAAAAGAGCAACATGTTTCAACACTAAAGATTAGTGCGTTTGTTTTATAATTTCTTAGTTGTATGATGAATCCAATTTTGGCAGAAAATGCAAAAACATGCGAACATTTGGTCTGAAACTCTTCTGACTGCCGCTTTTGAACCTTTAGGTGGGGCCCCCAGGTACCTTGCAGAACTGTTGCTACAATAGATGGGCAAAAAAATCAAACCCCGAAGAGGCGAACTTGGACATGATCGGATACATGGGTTTGTGCTGAAGGTTTCTGAATGCTTCCTCAGAGCCAGAACTTGAACCTCCTGAGCCTTCCAAACCTTGACTTGGAACATTGCCTTGGCAGCTCTTGGCCCGAGACTTCTTTGCATGTCTCTGCAACTATTGTAACTATGCAAGTATCGGGCAACGCTAAATGTGAGCGTCTAGGGGCCCGGAAAGCGTGTCAAAGGAAAGTTGCCAAAAAAAAACCGTTTCCACGAAGTGTATTACACCCAGGTATATATAGTTACCCACACGTACAACCAATTTTGACCTGTCTTTTTGACCAACGAGAAAACTAGGGTTGTTTCCACCTCCGAGAAATCAGCGAACACCAGAACACCCCTGTATTCCCACAATGCCTGGATCTTCAAGGCTGTCAAAGAATTCTCAGACCATAGGATCCGTGAACGAGTGCGAAAATGACGGGTTGAACTAACTTCTTTCACCTAAGACCTAGGAAAAGCAAACTTGGTCATATCGGAAATGAAACTTCGCAATTGACCGTCAACGCAGTGTTGTCGTTCGTGTGTGTGTGTGTGGGTGGGGATATGGGGATATGGCGACTGGCATGGGGATGCAAATGCTGTTTGATAAATCCGTTTACATGTTTAATCAACACTTTTAAGCGCCCTAGATCAGAAGGGTTTGGATCAGAGTCTTTCACCCCCCTAGCGCATGAATAATCTCAAAATATCACAATATCAAAAGAACATTTAAACACATGTGTTTTGCATATTTAAGCATGCAATCCCATTAAAAACAGTTTTATGCATATTCCGTTTGCATGTTATCTCACTTTTTACTCAGTTGATTAGAGGTTTGAAGGGTGTAAAAAAACGGGGGATTGATGTCTGATCAATCTTTGAGTGACATATGAAGGACTTGCTTGCCCTGGTCAAACTCAAGGGCGACATGAGAGCGACGAGTGAAGGCAATGGGAGATAGACAGACCGAGACCCTGAGAGACAAATGACTGCAGCAGCCAATGCAGAATCTGCAACACACAAAAAACATGTTTATGATGTTGAGTTTTTCATCTGATCATCAATTTTGAGATGTGTTGAGCTTTGTTGGGACGTTTCGAGATTTTTTGAGGTTTCTTGTTTTTTTTCTGAGGTTTGTTCTCTTGACAATTTACTTTCTCCCTCACCTTTTTTGAATGTTTTGAGGTGTGCTGAGATTGCTTGATATTTCTCATTTGCCAAGGTGATACTGTATATGTTTGATGTGTTCAACGTGTCTTTTTTTTACATGCTTTTTGATTGTGGCATTTTTGTGATGCATTTATTGAAATATGTTATACTCAATGACTGTGCGCTTATTGTTTTAGAAGATTTAGAGGATAGTGAACGTGTTTTTTTCGTTTTTTGCATGTTTTTTTTTTCGTTTTCTTCGGTTGTGTTCATGTTTGTTTATTTTTACCAGTTTACTGTTGATCCGAGATTTGATTCCGATCTAAACCGTCGGTAAATATTTGCTAGGTTGTCCTCAATTCGCCCTCTCTCCCCAGCGCTAAGATTGGCAGCCTGACGCAAGGCTTGCTCTCGAAAGAAGATCTCACTTCTTTGCTCTCGTTCTTGCTCCAGTTGTATAGCCTGTGATTTGGCCTAGCCGCGTTGGGCGGTGACAGCCTAGGTCGAAGGAACAGTACTTCCAACGCTTGGCGTGACTTCCAGGGAGGGCTGGCTGATTTATATAGCCTATAGCCTTGAAATTCACAGTCTCACGTTAAGCAAAAAAAACAAAAGATGTTGCAGGGCACAGGAGAAAAAGAGTCGCATCCACAGCACGAAATTCTTCGTGTTTCAAACAATAGGTCCTTGTCAAGCTTTTTGTGCCCACTGCTGCACCTGCTGCCTTGTCTTTTCAAGTTCATCCTGAAGCCTGTTCACCTGCGCATTTTTTTGACTCACGGCTCCGGTCACGACGTGTTTTGCAATTTGGCTTAGCAGCAGTTTATTAATTAAATGCGTTCATAAATTTCACATGGCGCACACCATAATTGCTTCTCTCTCTTCGATGTCTCCCCCCAGCCTCTACCATGCTAGACCGCAGCTCTGCAGCAAGCCGGGATAGCTCGGCTGCCTTCACTCCCCTAACCCCAGGCCGCCTTTATCCGCAACAGGCCAAATGTGCATGATGGAGGTCCAATTAGTCTGGCGCCAAAAAAGAATCCGTTTGAAAAACAAAACTTCCGAGATCTTCCGAGACAAAGAATAGAACCCAACAAGTTCTCTGCCCGTTATCAAAGTTGACATGGGCCGCCGGCTGCTTGGCCAACGCCTTCGCTTCGACCCCACGGCCCGACACATCACGTTGCTCCATGAAACTGTGATAGCGGTCCTCAGCAGGAAACACAAATGTAATGTGATGTGTGATGTGATGTCATGTCATGTCATGTAATGTAATTAATGTGATCTGACGCGATGTAATGTAATGTGATGATGTGATGCAGTGTAATGTAATGTAATTTGAGGTGAGGTGAGGTGATGTGCTGTAATGTAATGTGATATGCAATTTAATGTATATATATTATATATGCATATGTATCTGTATATGTATGTGTATATGTATGTGTATATGTATGCGTACATATATATACACACATATATACACATATACATATGAAAACTTGGGAGGCGTTACCCTGTATGAAGTGGCCCGGTTGACCGTTGTGGTGCTGTGGTGCTATCGTGCTGCCTTCCTGCTGAAAGCATTCCTGCTGCTGTGCTGACATGCTGCTGCGCCTCTGTGCGGTAAGTCAAAGTGTTAAACTGTCAGTGCGGCATCGTCCCTGTGTTGTGCAACAGCTGTTCAAAAGGAAAAATTGTGTGCCCAAGTGAAAGGAAACCCAGCAAGTTCGACGCGTGCCTAAGTGCGAGCTACATGTTCGTTGTGCATGCATAAATCACTGGTCATTTTTATTAAAGGCAATGCTCTTCCAATTATGTGTGTTTTGAAGTTGTGCTTCGCAATTATTGGAAACGTTGTTCCAACAACATCCAACAACTTCAAAGAAGTTGCGCGTCTTCAGTATTGGAATGTTCTACTTCAACAATTTGGGCATGTTCCACCCCAACATTTTAGATATGTTTTTCATTGTTTTTTTATAGACTACCAGGCCAAAATTTCATGGACCTGTATCTTGGCAACCTACAGCCTGGGAAGCCCCAACATGCCCATAGTGGCCCTCATAGCCCTCCATGTCGGGAACCTAAGACCTCCAAAACCATAAAAATACCCACCATACAGGGCTCACAGCTCTGCACGCAACCTGCAGCTCAGGAAACTCCCAAAATCAATGAAATAGGGTGAAGAACAGGTTTGGGATTTTTTAGGGGGACAATGTTTTTTTTCCCTGGTAACATTTGCATTGTATTTGCAACAGTTTGGAACTAGAACCTGTCATTTTGCATGGTATTTGCTACATTTTGGCATGGCCACCTTCCATTTTGCATGGTATTTGCTACATTTTGCCATGTTCGCCTTCCATTTTGCACGGTATTTGCCACTTTTTGGCACTTCAACCTGTGTTTGCATGATATTTGCTACATGTTGGCACTTCAAACGTTCAATGCGGGTTTCTTTAAGGATCTTTAGGGTTTCTTTGCGGTTTTTTAGTGTTTCATTTAGGGTTTCTTTAGGGTTTCACTTAGGGTCTCTTTAGGGTGTTGTTCAGGGTGTCTTTAGGATGTCATTTAGGGATTCATCTAGGGTTTTTTTAAGGGTTTCATGTAGGGTTTCTTATCAGGATTTCTTTAGGGTGTCTAGGGTCTCGCTGGTGTCTCATTTGGGTTACAAACAGGAGAGAACAAAGCAAAAAAAATGCCAAACAAAGAGACGGTAAAGAAAGGAAGCAGAGAAGCAGAAAAGCAAGAAGTAGAGCAGCGAAAACACATGACTGAAGAAAAGTAAAGGAATTGAGTAGAAAGGCATAGAAGCAGAAAAACAGAAAAGCAGGAAAAGCAAAGGCGGAAGAAACAGAAGACATAAAGGCACAGAAGCAGACAAACATAAAAGCAGAAAAGCAGGAAAAGCAGGAAGAACAAATAGCGGAAAAGCAGAAAAAAGAGAAGCCAAAAAAACATAAAAGCAGAGAAACAGAGAAAGCACAAAAGCATACCCAAAAAAAATTGACCTGGTGGGGTTGGGGCTTCAGATTTTCTAGGCACATTTCTGGAAAATGCCAAAACGGCCTCTACAAACCAAAAACATAGCATTTGAAAAGGAGACTTTCAGGCCTACAAAATCCAAACACCCAACCCCACTTTTGCTGGGACCAGGGGCAGCCGGCGCTTCTACAAAATGTAAATCATGGAATTCCACCTGCTATATATAAGCACTAAAAACTTGGTTCAAATACACCCTCACAAATCCTCCCAGAAACAATTGGGTTTTGTAACCTTTGTCTGGGGTCTAAAAATCAACAAAAATCACTGTTGGATTTCGTAGAGGCCCGGTTTCTGATTCTTTGTCGTGGCTTCAACCGATTCGTTGTCGCACTTTGTTTCTCGCCTTGTTTTTGGCATTTTCGCCACGCCCATGCATATAAGTGAACCTATATAGGTCAAACCTCTTTCAAGACCTATCTATCTATCTATCTGTCTGTCTGTCTGTCTGTCTGTCTGTCTGTCTGTCTGTCAATCTGTCTTTGTATATGTTTTATTTATTTATTTTTATTTATAGATAGGTAAATAGATAGATAGATCGATCGATAGATAGATAGGTAGGTGGATAGATAGATAGATAGATAGATAGATAGATAGATAGATAGGTAGAGGTAGAACCATAGATAGGCAGACAGACAGATAGATTAGTTGAGCAAGGTATCAAAAAAAACACAGGTATCAAAAAAAATAAACATACGATCAAAAAAAAATATTGATATTTCGATGGTAGGGACAGCATTTCGGACATGGCATGAGGCAAGAAGAAACTGGACACCAAGGGATCAAAAAAAAACTGCGAATATTTTTTTAAAATTCTTTCTTTTCCCCACATTGACGTGTGGGTTTTTTGTTTTTAGTTCTGTATCCCCTCCTTCCTTCCTTCCTCCCGCTCCTCCTCCTCCTCCTCCTCCTCCATCCGCACACACACTCACACACACACACTCAACACACATCACCCACAGGCGTGGAACAATGTGCACTGCCACGGGGCCGGATGTACGCCACGGTGTCCGCCGGTGTCCCGCTGGCGTCCCTTGGTCTCCGGTCGCTTTTGCGTGGCAAGCCTGGGACAATGTGCACTGCCACGGGTCGGATGTACACCCAGGGGTCCCTCTGGCGTTCCTCCGGTGTCCCTTGGTCTCCGCCGCTCTGCCGGTGGCTTTTGCGTGGCAGGCGTGGGACAATGTGCACTGCCAAGGGGTCGGATGTACGCCCCGGTGTCCCTCTGGCGTCGCTCCGGTGTCCCTTGGTTTCCGCTGCTCTGCCGGTGGCTTTTGCGTGGCAGGCGTGAGACAATGTGCACTGGGAAGGGGTCGGATGTACGCCCCGGTGTCCCTCTGGCGTCCCTCCAGTGTCCCTTGATATCCGCCGCTCTGCCGGTGGCTTTTGGGTGGCAGGCGTGCAAGCACTGCCAAGGGCTCGGCTGTACGCCCCGGTGTCCCTCTGGCATCCTCTGGCGTCGCTCCGGTGTCCCTTGGTTTCCGCCGCTCTGCCGGTGGCTTTTGCGTGGCAGGCGTGAGACAATGTGCACTGGCAAGGGGTCGGATGTACGCCCCGGTGTCCCTCTGGCGTCCCTCCAGTGTCCCTTGGTCTCCGCCGCTCTGCCGGTCGCTTTGCGTGGCAGGCGTGGGGCAATGTGCACCGTGCCCATCATAGGCTGTTCGTAACCCTGTATGTTGGCAACCTATAGCCTGGAAGCCATATGCTGTTCGTAACCCTGTATGTTGGCAACCTACAGCCTGGAAAACCCCAGGAACCTATCATAGGCTGTTCCTAACCGTGTATGTTGGCAACCGACAACCTGGAGAAAACCCAGGAACCCATCACAGGCTGTTCGTAACCCTGTATGTTGGCAACCTATAGCCTGGGAGCCCCCAGGATGCCCATCATATGCTGTTCGTAACCGTGTATGTTGGCAACCTATAGCCTGGGAGCCCCCAGGATGCCCATCATATGCTGTTCGTAACCGTGTATGTTGGCAACCTATAGCCTGGAAGCCCCCAGGATGCCTATCATAGGCTGTTCGTAACCGTGTATGTTGGCAACCCAGCCTGGAAAAAACCTAGGATGCCCATCATAGGCTGTTCGTAACCCTGTATGTTGGCAACCTATAGCCTGGAAAAACTCCAGTGCCCATCATAGGCTGTTCGTAACTGTGTATGTTGGCAACCCACAGCCTGGAAAACCCCAGGATGCCCATCATAGGCTGTTCGTAACCGTGTATGGTGGCAACCTATAGCCTGGAAAACCCCAGGATGCCCATGATACGCTGTTCGTAACCCTGTATGTTGGCAACCTATAGCCTGGAAAACCCCAGGATGCCCATCATATGCTGTTCGTAACCGTGTATGTTGGCAACCTACAGCCTGGAAAACCCCAGGATGCCTATCATAGGCTGTTCTTATCTGTTCTTAACCGCGTATGTTGGCAACCTTCAGCCTGGAAAACCCCAGGAATGCCCATCATAGGCTGTTCGCAACTGCGTATGTTGGCAACCTACAGCCTGAAAAATAAGCCCAAAGAGTATCCCCAACAGCGAGAAACAAAAACAGTTGCCAAACACGCAATGAATGAAGTCTGTTTATTGCCCCGCCCTTTTTACTCTAGAGGTCGGGCGTGCAAGCTGCAATCACGGCACAAACACTGTATGAAAAAAACGTTTTTCGAAAAGCGTTTGCGATACTGTGGCCAACATGCCCGAAGCTCGTGCAAAGGGTTCTCTTCCCAAAGAACTGCTGTCCGCCTCACTCTTCACTTCATCTACCTAACATACATCATCCACATCTTTTTTGTCCTTTACATCACCTACATCTTCTATACCATCTTCTAGACCATCTTCCCTATATTTACATCTACATCTACACCATCAGCACCATCATCACCATCATCATCATCATCATCACCTACATTTGTCTCACCTACATTATCTACACCACCTACACATTTGTCCATCAACCTCATCTATATGACATGTTTTATCTACAACACATACATTACCGGCATCATCATCACCTACATCACTACATCCTCTACATCACCCACATCACCTACATCTTCTGCACCATCGTCCCTGCATCATCATTATCATCATCATCACCACCACCACCACCATCATCATCATCTATCTCA